AGACAAAACTGATTAGACACAAAGAAAGTCACCATACACTGGTTTTGGGGACAACTCCACAGGGAGAGTTAACAATTATAACCATATATGCAGCAAACACCGGTGTACCAAAGTTCATAAAACAAACACGACGGGATAGAAAAGATCAGATAAACACCAGCACAATTTAAGTAGGGGAATTCAAAAGTCCACTGTCACAAATACAAATGGAAAACATATTAACAAGGAAACAGCAGAGTTGAGTTACACCTTTGAACAAATGGACTTACACATCTACAGAGTGATCAACCAATGACAACAGAATATACATTCTTCTCACCAGTATGTGAAACTTTCTCCAAAATAGGCATATTTAAGTAAATGTAAAAGAATCAGAATTATCCCTTATATATTACCAGATCATAGCACAGTGAAGCTAGAAATCAATGGCAAAGAAACTACAGAAATTATGTAAACTCACAAAAATTAAACTTGCATAATCAATGTGTCACAAAGAAACAAGGAAATTAGCTCATAGAATCAAATGATAGTAGCAGTACAACATACCAAAATTTATGGGACGCAATGAAAATGATTTTAAGAGAAAGTTTTACAGCTGTGCATGACCATATCAGAAAGACAGAGTGAGACCAAAAAAATAACCTGACCATACATCTGAAGATCCTACAAAAACATTAACGATGCAAATCCAAAGTAGTACAAGAAACAATAGTATAGGGATCAAGGTAGAAATTTAGGAAATTGAGACAAATAATACAAAGAATCAATAAATTGAGGAGCTGATTTTGCCAAAGAATAAACAAAACTGACAGCCAATCTTATGAAAAAAGCAAAAACACAAAAGAATGCAATTGGAAATGAAAACTTGGATCTCATCCTTCTGAAAAGTTTCTGCACATCTAAAGAAATCACCAGCAGAATAAAAAGAAAACCCACAAACGTGGAAAAAATTTTAGCTGACTGTCCCTCAGACAAAGGGCTTTTATCTAGAACATATAAAGAATTAAAAAAATCAGCCCCTCCAAATTCAAAGACCCAATCCAAAAATGGGCAGTTCAGATGAATAATGAATAAATCTCAGATAATGAAATACAAATGGCAAATAAACACATGAGAAAATGTTCAACATCATTAGCCATTTGAGAAATGCAAATTAAAACAACACTGAGATTCCACCTCACCCCAGTAAGAATGGCTAGCATTAAGAAATCAACCAATAACAAATGCTGGCGAGGCTGTGGAGAAATAGGAACTCTTCTCCACTGCTGGTGGGAATGCAGACTGGTGAAACCACTGTGGAAATCAGTTTGGAGAGTCCTCAGAAAACTAGGTCTAGAGGTCCCATTCCACCCAGCTATTCCCCTTCTGGGTATTTTCCCAGAAGATCTAAAAACATCAAGTCACAGCGATATATGTGCACCTACGTTCATAGCAGCACAATTTGTAATTGCTAAAATGTGGAAGCAATCCAAATGTCCACCCACTGAGGATTGGATAAGAAAATTGTGGTACTTTTATATAATGGAATATTACTCAGCTATAAAGATAAACTCGAGGCTTTTATAAGTAAATGGTCACAACTAGAGACCATACTCATAAGTGAAATAAATCAGACCTACATGTGGAAGCATTGCATTGTCTCACTAGTGTAAAACCTGAAAGAGCTAATATTAACTCGGAGGTATGACACACATTGTGAAATGAGAGGAAAACGCTCAAGGGTAAAGGGCAACTGAGATATGGGAAAAGAGAAGGGAAAGAAGGAGAAATTTTCTATGTATGTACATACAGGATAGTAAACATAGTGGTTCTACTGTCTTCTATTTCTCTAATGGTTAGATGTTGAATCTTTTTTATGTATTTGGGGGGAGGTCTAAGCTTTTTTCAGTTCTTTATATTTTGTAGATGTTTGTCCTCTCTCTGAGGAATAGCTGGCAAAAATTGTTTCCCATTATGTCATTCAGTATGATCCCACTCGATTCTTTATGCTACTTGTGCAATTGTGGTTTTCTTTTTAAAGTCCTTGCAAACAGCTGGGCATGATAGCACACACCTGTAATCCCAGCACTTGGGAGGCTGAGGCAGGAGGATTGCTGTGAGTTCAAGGCCAGCCTGGACTACAGATCAAGACCATCTCAAAAAACAAAAGAAAAAAGAAAAACCTTGCAAACAACTTTGTCTTCAAGAGTTTTGTCTACTTTATTTTCCAACGTCTTGACTTCTAGAATGAAAACTATAACACTGCGGAAAAGGAGATCAAACAAGGCATCATAAAATGCAAAGATATTCCCTGTTCCTGGACAGGCAGAACAAATATGACCAAAATGGCCATAACTCTGCACTACACTAAACAACGTTAAAACTCATATGGAACCAGAAAAGACCCAGAGTAGCAAAAGCAATCCAGGGCAACAGGAGCAAAACGTCTTAAGTGTTTTCTATTTTAATATTTAGATCTGTAGTCGATTTTTATTTTAGTTTAGTACATGATGAGAGATGAGTGTAGCTTCAATCTTCTGCCAGTTACCCCAGCATCATTTACCAAAGAGACTATCTTTCCTCCAACATGGTTTTAGCCCCTTTGCCAAAGATCAAGTAGCTGAATGTGCTTGGGGTTGTTTCTGCATCCTCTACTCTTTTTGATTGAGCCACGTGGCTATTATTGTTCTAGTAACATGCCATTTTTATCACTGTAGCTTTGTCATGTAACTTGAAGCCACGTGTTGTCATACATTCTGTTTCTTTGCTGAAAGAAACTGTTAATGAGTCCTTGATTGATCAATATTGCATGTCTGTATTTGTTTTCATGAGAAACCACTTTGAAGATATCAATATGTAATACAACAAGCATTGTTAATTTCCTGCCACTTTGTTTGTAACTCTGTATTGTCTGTACTGTTCTTTTGCTATTTTGTAAAAGGTTGTCTGCCTGTTAATGTTTTCCTCCTTTTATTTTTAAAATAAAAAAAATAAGAAATGAAAAAGATGAAATTACAATCAAGTCCAAATTACTACTATTAAAACAATAACAAGATTGCAACTTACATCAGAATAATGACTATCATCGAATAACAAATGCTGGTGAGGCTATGGGGGAAGAGGAACCTTTCTCCATTTTTGATGAGAATGTAAATTAGTACAAACATTATAGAAATCAGTATTGAGATTCCTCAAAATCCCCAGAACAGAATTCCACATGACCCAGCTAATCCTCTCATAGGTATCTTCCTGAAAGAGTTAGAGACATCCTATTACAGTGATACATTCATACCCACATTTGTAACAGTACAAAACATAATCCCTAGCCCCGGGTGTCATAATCCTTAGCCCCAAGTGTTGGCGCATACCTGTAATCTCAGCGCTCAAGAGGCTGAGGTAGGAGGACTGCTGTAACTTCAAGGCCAGCCTGGGCTACATAGTGAGTTCAAGGTAGCCTGTACTACAGAGCAAGACCCTGTTTCAAAAAGTAAAATAAATAAATAAATAAATAAAATAAAATCATAATCGCTAAATCTTGGAAGTGTCCTATATGTCCATCAACAGATCAATGGATAAAGGAAATGTGTATTTACACACAATGTACTATTACCTTTCCATAAAGAAGGATAAATTTGAGTTATTTTTAGGAAAAGGGATGTACCTTGAGACCATAATATTAAGTGAAACAAATTAGATACATAAGCTTAAATATTACATGATTTCCTTTACACAAGATAACCAAACTACTAAAAAAAAAATCGAAGAGCACTAAAAAAAAAAAAAAAAGTAATAGGAAACACAGAGATAACTTTTGTGAAAGGGAAGGGGACCAGAAATGGTGGGTGGGGACAAAGGGGAAAGAAATGAATGAAAAAAAGAATTAAGAATTATTATGTACATGTACCAATCCCCATGAAGAATGTAATCATTATGTACTGCAAGTATAAACCAATGAAAATAAAAATTAGAAAAAGTAGAACTATGCATAGTGTCAATGACTCAGAACAGGCTTTTTAAAAGGATGAACCTGATTGATAAACCCTAGTCAAAACTTACCAAAAGAATAAGGAAGAACCCCTATCAATGCAGTTAGAAATGAAAGAAGTGAATTCACAATGAACATGGCTGAAATCCTAAGGATTATAAGAAACTATTTTAAAAACTTGTATTCTAAGAAACTGGAGAACCTAGAAGTAATGGAGAAATTCCCAGACAAACATAAATTACTAAAACTGAAAGAAGATATTAAAAACCTGAACAGACCAATAATGGCAATGAAATAGTGACAGTAATGAGAACTCTACCAAGGAAAGCCCAGGACCTGATAGATTAACTACAGAATTCTACAAGAATTTCAGGAAAGGTCTAATGTCAATATTCCTTAAACTCTTCCATAAAACTGAAAGGGAACCAGTACTGCCAAACTCTTGCCCAGAAGCTAGCATTACTCTGGTAGCAAAACTGGGCATATATAGTTTTGTTATGTATACACTGACATAATACATAAATTTTAAAGAGTGAACCTGTGTATTGTTTTCAGCATGTGCGTAACTCATTTCTAGTGAGAGGCTGTAGGATACAGTATATATTCCTATTTTTAATATAAATTAGACGGAAAACAACAACCATGTTAGGTATAGGTATGTTTTTATAGGGCATTCGATTACGTAATGGAAAAGCATAAGGACAAGGGGAGGAAGGCGGGGAAAAGTTGACATCCACCGTCTCCAACTTGTCAGGGAGCCCCGCCCACCCTGCGCAGCCTCGCCCCCGCCCTTGAGGCACAAACACAGACCCTGTGCCCCGTTCACCAGTCCTAAGGCCCGCCCACTGGACACAGGGCCCACTGCAGCTCCACCCTCCAGGCCGTTCTGGACCTCACCGTCACCTCAGTTCCTGGAGAGAGAAATTAGAATTTCTCTTCAAAGACGACGTGGAACGGCTCAGTCCTCACCGGCTGCCTAAGGAGCCCCCGGTGCCCAGAGCCGGAGTTCTAGCCACTTCCGCTCCCAGCGGCCCCGAGGCAGGAAGAGGAAGTGCGCGGGGGCGGCGGGTCTGTGCGCGGCGCCGGCGGTGGTGATGTCTCCAGGTCTGTGGGTGACCCGGGATCTCTGGGGAGGGAGGGGAGGGCGGGGGAGGCTCTGTGGGAGCCAGGACCAAGGACGGCCCAGGCGTAAACTGAGGTGCTGCTCTTCTCGTTCCGGGGTGCGGCCTGTGCAGCTCGACCTCGCGGCCGGGCGCCCCTTTCGGGTCACTACCTGTGGGGTGTCGGAGTCTGGAGGACAGCGCTGCCATCCCGTCGGAAAGGAAGCCCCAACCAAAGTCCAGTCCAGGACCCCCAGCTCAGTCCTCACTTGTGTTCCATGAGGTGTAGGAACAGTGCTTCGGGGAGCTGTGCCCTGCCTCTCATGCAAGATGACTGTGTTAGTAATTGCCGTTTTATGTCACGTGGTATTTATTGTTATCTAGCTTTGCAGCTTGAAAATTAGGGCAAGGTCTACATGTACGAGTTGATTTGAGTGACTTGTCAGGTTTATTTTTAAAATTGAAGGAATGAACTGGATAATCTGATACAGCTATATCTATATCCATATAACCTTTTCCTGTCCTTTTTTGGGAGGGGGGACCGACAATTGGCGATCCCAAAGATTAAGCAATTAGCTTTTCTTTGCTTCTGTTTCTTTTTCTTATTTCTTCTTTTCATTTAGAAGTGAACTTTTACTTTGGCTATGGGCATCAATGTTTGCATTTTTTTCTTTATATGGTGTGAGGTTATCTAGTGAAACGCTGTTTCTCAGGCCACAAATGTTATTATCAAGGAAAAGTAAGGCTACTTAGTTCCTGTCATGTTGGCTCCAGCCCTCACCCCAAACTTGTAAACCATGAATCTTCAAAATATATGTGAGACTTCAGGGAAAGGGTGAGATAAATTTTGTTAGTACCAGAAATGGAATGTCCTTTTTAATAATGAGTTAAAACTCATTCCTACTGAGATACGAGGAAAAGTTAACTCTGGAGGAAAATTAAAGACCAGCTTTTAGTGTGTGTAGGTGTATGCTTTCTTAGATTTGCTGTACTAAATAATTCATGAGGAGTGTTGATTTTGGGGCACATTTTCATTGAGATGCCTTCAATGAACTGGGCCTTAAATGTGGGAAACAGTGTAGCCCTTGGCCCTGTGAAGGTTTTATTCTAGTTCAAAGAAGGATTTTACATTAATAGTGACAAGGGTGATATGAGACTATGGAGCAGGATAAGTTGAGGAGGTCCAGGAAAATATCTGAAAAGAGATTTTGAAACTAAAGGATGAGTTCTGTGTAGCTAACCAAGGAGTTTGGCTCTACAGTAAGATTGTGGAGGAGATTTGAGACCATATTTCATGTGCACAGTCCCTCAGGTGGTACAAAGCCTGGTATGTTCTAGCAGCAGAAAAAAGACAGGGAAAGCTAAACTAAAGAAGATAAAGCAGGGAGTGAATGACTAGGTTGGACAGGAGGGCAGGGCCTTGAAAGTCATGGTAAACTCTACAGTGTATTTTGTGAGGTCTTTGGGAAGCCACCGTATCATAGTTTTAAGGGTGGGATTGACGTGTTTACTTTTGTAATTTAAACAAAACATTGCTCTTGGATTGAATGTAGACTTTAGGATAGACAAAAATGCAGAGCCCATGTAAGAGATTGAGTAAATTCAGGACTTGCATGATAGTAGGCAGGTATTAATGATTATCAAATCAGAAAAGTTGGAAGTGTGTGTGGAAGGAGGTAGAATTGAGAGGATTTGGTGACATGCATATTTTTGTAGGAGGGAGCAGAGGTCAGCAGTTGATGGCCTATGTGACAAATTGGGTCCAGTTTTGGCTTTTACACAAAACTTTATTGGAACCCATTTTTTATGTGTAGTTTGTGGCTGTTTCTGTACTACCATCATATAGTAAAGTAGAGGTGACAGAGATCATGTAGCACATAAATGTGAAGACATTTCCTATTCGGTCTTCTGCAAAAAAAGTTTGTCAGCCCAGAGTATAAAAAGCACTTAGTGTTTATCATGTGCTGGGGTGGTTGCTGGATATGAAGGTCTGAAAAAATTGGGCACAGACTTACATTTCCCGGATTTATATTATAGTTGGAGAGAGCAAGATAAAGTCACCCCCCCCCCAAAATAAAGAAGCATCACAACTTTTAAAGGGCAGTGGAGGAAATGTAGAAAGTGGTAGAAGTGATTTTTACAATACAAGAAGAAAAATTATCTTTTTATGAAGTGAGAGGAGCCAGGAGAAATCCCCATGGCCTGTTGTCTGAAAGGTGGCTTACAACCCACTATGTTGCTTATTATAAATAAATGTGTAAATGTTGTTACCTTGGATTTCCTGCTGGAAGAGGAAGAAAAGGCTGACAGAGTGTGAGCATCTTCATTGCTGCCCTTGGGGACCTGGGACATCTGTCTGTGCATGACTTCTAGAGGGCACTGCTATGAGAGGTGTGTTCCACTGCAGACCCCAAGACTGCGCCTACCCAGCAGGGCTCTTCCAGCGCCACCTGTGCCATCTTTTGTGATTCCTACTGAAAATACCTGTGTCTGTATAAATTTAAATTTAAATTAGTTAGGATTCCGTGAAATTAAAGATTCAGTGCATCGGTCACCTTAGGCACATTTCTCAGTCTCAGCAGCTACACATGGCTACCTTTTGGGAAAGCGTAGGCAGAAACTCCCGTCATCACAGAGAGATGTGATAGACAGCACAACTCTAGAGTTTAGAAATTTAAAGGCCATAAGTTTGCTTGATCAGGATAGTTGAGTCTTTTCCTTGCTTCAAGAAAAATCTATAACAACCATTGGTGAATTCCTACAATCCTGTCTACTGAAACTATGTATTGTCTCTAATGTTCTTTTAACTTATTTTCTTATTCCCTTTAATGATGTGATCAATCTTCTATACATCTGATAATCTGAGAAAGTTCGTTGAAGATAACAATACATAAATAACAACCACTGTTAATCCCTATCATTTGGTTTGGAACCCCATATCATTTTTAATGTCCTTGCTTTGTTTTGTTTGTATTTTGCTATTCCTTTTTTTTGTACTATTTTCTTTAAAATAAAAAATTTTAAAAAATAAAATTGAAGTAATTTTCATGTCTATTCGCAGGCCTACGCCTTGTTATTTATATGTCCTTTTGCATCAGTAATTAGAAAGTTTCTCTTTCGGAGTTGAATGAGTCACAGACAGAAGGACTATAGTTGGATATAGATGAATTATAAAACTGTCTATGAAGATTTGTACATCTGGATTTGCTTCATGAATAGCAGGGAAGACGCTAGTTTATAAGTCACACATTGCTTAATACACAAGTAATAACTTAACCACTTATGGAAAAGACCTTGCCAAAGTACACAGGTAGAGAAAGCTACTCTTCCCCAGTGCAGGTCGACAGTCAGGTGTTGCTCCGAAACAGATTCCTCAGTGCTGATCGTTGCTTATCTTCCTATGTAAAGAGGATTTGACAAGGAAAAGGATGTGACTTATTCTGTGTCGCAGAAGCTGCCCCCCATTCTGAGTTGCAGCTTGGAACTTTGGGAAGGTAAACACAATTCTGGAGAATGGGAAACTAGATGCAGAAACTTCCTAAGTGCACACTCTTTCTACTAAACAAACTCCAATTAAGGCTGCGATAAACTTCTGAGCCAAACAAATGCAGTAGTAGTAGAAGGAGAGCGGAAGTTGTATGTACACGAGGAAGTGCAGTACGCACAGGATTTCCTTCTCCCTCACGGGGTGACAAGTGTGAAAACAGAAGTCCTGGTAGTCTGTGTAGTAGTGAAGAATTCTGCAAGTGCTGACAGCACAAATATGATCTGGGCAGCCTCTTGCCAGAAGGGCTGACCCAGTGCTTGTCTGCACCGCAGCTGTCCAGGTGAGTAGACCTGAGTAGTGTTTGGTTTACTCACATATGCCATGTAAACTTTCTTTCAAAAGCATCAGTCTTTATCCTGACTTAGCCGGGAAATTAATGAAAGCATCTGTGAGCCTTAGAACCTTCACTGTGCTTCTATCAATCAAAACATCTGTACCAGGATCCAGAATGATGAAAGGACAAATTAGAGTAGTTGTCACTCCCAAAACCTGTGAGCGTCACTGTCTGTTCTCAAGACTCAGAATCTGAGAGATCTGGGTTGGCTCTTTCCATAGGATCTTGCCTTGCATCCTTCCATGTATTAGAAAATACTGGGAAATTTTAAGTTACCGGGAAAATTTCTGTTATCTTCAGCCACCATTTCCACCTGCATTATGATTCTGTCAGCATTGTTAGCATCCCTAAAATGTGTTCGTTTAACTTTTCAATACATTTCTGTATTTCCATTACAGGCTGTCTTTATCTTTTCCATTTTGGTGCTATTTCACTATCTCCCTTCCTTGTCCTTTTGTTAAATATGAGAATATTATGGCCATCTCCATTTTTCAACTTACCTTTTCTAACATACAATGTCACTCTACACATGAAGCTCAGCTTCATTCTTTACATGCCTGTTTGACAAGCAGAGCAATTACCTCTCATGATAAACATTTAGTTATTATCTTTTCTCTTTTAGAATTCCTAGTACAGTTTTCTCCAGGCTGTGACAGTCTATAAACTGAGGTAGCTCAAATTTTATCTGAGTGCAGCCCAGCAAGGCACACAGTCTCATTATGACGTGAGAAAGCTGAGCCTTATACCTGTGCGCATCCCTGCCTACATAATGGGTCGATGCATCTAGATCTGGATGGAGCACATCCTGCCCACCTGAATGCAGAGTCAGTCTTTTGTACGGTTGGACACAATCTGGGAGAATAAGCACAAGGCAATCTCTTCTTTATCTCAGTTAATTAGTAAAATAAGTGGTACTTTTGATGTCCCAAGTCTGATTACAAGTAGTGGAATTTTGGAACAGTGAAGAGAGGGCTGTAAAAAAATGGAAATCCCTAAGAGATAAAAGAAGAAAAAGTATTTTAAGTCTATCACAGTTTTGTGTACTTTGAGACCAGTCATTTTAACAGCTTTCAATGGCTGACTAAATATTTAAACAATTTGAATTCAATATTTATTAGTTGATACTGCCATGCTTGTTGTTAGAGTTTGTAGCTTAATTTATTATGTATCGGACATTTAAGATTGTGTATTGCATTCTTTAATGCATTGATTGATGTATTATTCTCCTGTCTTTATGGAGGAAATGAAATTTAGAAGGCAATAACAAATATATTTAAAATCCTGTGGTTACATAGTGTCAAAGCTGTAATAAGCTTAGAGTGATACAGTACACCATGCCAGGAATCTCTAGGACAGAGAAATCTAAAGCAGTCCTTTAATAGTTACTAGGAGGTAGAGAGGAAGGCTTAGAGAAGGTCACTTCCAGCTGGGCTTGGTGTTTTACCTCTGTAATCCCAGCACTTTGGGAAGCTGAGGCAAGAGGATCATATATTTGAGCCCTGCCCTGGCAACTTAATGCCTTAGTGAAATGCTATATCAAAATAAAATAAAAAGGTCAGAGATGTAGCTGTGTAGTAATAGTCTTCTTTTCACAAAAAATAAAAACATAAAACTAAGCCCACGGATACTAACTATGAGAATATGATTTTGTACTACAAAATGGCAAATGGACAAGAGCAGGGTCCTCAGTGGTTGTGTTCTGAAAGTTGTTACTGTGTCCTTGCTGAAACCACTTCCAGCCAACTTAGCATCTGGGATGCTAAGATAGACGAAATTCCTGAGTACCCCTGTGATGGCAGAATTTAGCTCCAGATGCCCTCATTTCAGTCAGCCTACACTGCAGCTGTGACTCAGGATGACACTTGCATAGTGGTCTGATGATTCTCAGCCTCTTCGGCTTTCATAGCATTTACCTGAAAAACATTGAATATTTTCTTAGTGCTTTTTACCCAAGGACTGATACCTATGTCCTTCTTTCATGACTGCTAGTTTATGCTCAATGAATTTTGACTGGTAGAAATACAGAGTGATATACATTTAGTTACTGTAAGAATTAATGAAGTAATTTTCCAAAATTTTCAATGACTATGGCAGCAGCTAACCATGTGGATATCCCTGCTCATTGCACAAAGGGGCTGAGACTGGCAAAACCAAGTTCTAGAAACAATCTAATATTTAGTATTATTGTATCAGTTGTCAGGGACCCTATACAGAAGGAGAAAGTGAAATTTTCCCAATAAAAGAAAAGAACCTGTAATCCTAGCACTCAGAAGGCTGAGTCAAGAGGATCATTGTGAGTTTGAGGCCACTGTGGACTACGTAGTGAGTAGTTCAAAGCCATCCTGTAATGAGAAAACCACACACACAAACCAAAAAAAGAATGAAACAGAAAGAAAGAAAGAAAAAAAAGAAAGGAAAGAAAAAGAAAGAAAGAAAGAAAGAAAGAAAGAAAGAAAGAAAGAAAGAAAAAGAAAGAAAAGAAAGAAAGGAAGAAAGAAAAGAAAGAAAGAAAGAAAAAGAAAGAAAGAAAGAAAGAAAGAAAGAAAGAAAGAAAGAAAGAAAGAAAGAAAGAAAGAAAAGGAAACAGGTCATGAGAGTGAGAGTGCTTTTGGTAGCTCTGAAGAGCCATGAGAGAAAGGAAAAACCACATAACTGTTTGCCAGGATGTTAGCATGTAACACTGGCCAATATTCCATAACTATTCATGCTACTGACTACTGTGACATTCTTAAGTAAGTTGGAGCTTACAAATAATTAAGAATTAAAAAGAGGAGGATACCGAGGGGAACTCGCCATGCGGTCTGTGGTTTAAACCTTCACTATGGGGTGGTCCTGGGACTGATGGTGGTGGCCTGGACCACACTGAGGAGACAGGTGGTGCAGATGGAAAGACCCAGGCTGCCCTTCCCAGGTAAGTCATAGTTTTGCATTCTACATAGCTTGGGAAGTTCTGGAAATAAAATGTTGAAATGATTCCAGTCCCTCCAACAGAAATCATGACTACATTTGAGAAAACCAAGTGAATAAGAATAAAATCTCTGGGCCTCTTCTCAGGAACTGTGACAAAAGTATGTACATATATCATAAATATAAGAGTGTTGCCTGTGATTCCTAGTCCCAGGAGAGAGAATGATTGGTTGGTAAAGTCATTCCAGATCATCTTCTGACTTCATAGATAAAACCAGAAAAATCATTTAGAGAGCTATAAATAAGTAAAGACAACATATTTCAGATCTGTGGATTTTCTCTGTTTTAAATAATAGAACAAATTGTGAAATACATATGTATGGGTATAAATTCTAAGCTGTTTCATCCACCTGCACTTCCAAAAAATCTTAGTATTGGTCATGTGTGAAAATTTGTAAGACCATTTTCTTCCTAGGAAATAGGTGCAAGAGTGGCAACCTCAATTTTTTGTTTTGAGACAGGGTCTCGCTATGTAGTTCAGGCTGGCCTCAAACTTGTGGCAATTCTGCCTCAGCCTCCTGAGTGCTGGGATTACAGGTGTGCACCATCATACCCAGCCACAACCTCAGTTTTTATACCATGGTACTAAGTATGCACTTACGTACCTTTTTTTGTAATTAATATATAATATTAATGTATGTATCATATAATATTAATCTATGTATCATAGATTTTATTTATGGGCCGCCCAGACCCTCCTTATCATCACATACACCCTCATCCCTCGAGTGAGTAGTGAGCTAAGGAAGAATGTAACTTTTCCAAAGAACTGTACTTGGCCATGTCAAGTAGCTTCCTAGGATAGGTCATTTGGATTACTCCCTCCCCTGACACATGAGTAGCCCTTGGTCGTAAGAGATGCACACTTTAATTAGGTAAAGGAGTATAAAAGTCTAGCACCCTTCTTTCAAGGTAGGACTACACGATTAGCTGTGTTTTCTCAGTTTTTCACATGGGTGGGATCTGACTGAAGCTGATTTTATTTTCTTCCCATGTATTCTAGTTTTACTGAATAGTGAGAATGCCAGAGAGAAACTGTCTGACATACTTACCACTGTGTCTGCTATTAAATGCACAGAATAGTTTATGAGGGAATAACTATGTATTAGCCACAAAGATGAGCTGACAGACCAATTGGGAGAGCTGTTTGACCTGGCTTATGGTTGCTTATGAGGTTGAAACTGGATGTCCTGGCCAAGACAAACAATCCATGATGCATGCAGGAAAGTTATTATTGTGACCTCACATGTGTGGATGAGTGCACTTCCCAACTTCCACTGGTTCAGTGAATGACACGGACCACCCTTTAGGGATGTGGAGATCACAAGGTCAAAGCAGGATGCTCACTGAGCAGCCCCTCATATAGAAGTAGAAGCAAGTTGCAGCCTCATGTGCATAAATCTCAACATAGAGACATAGACAATTTGAAGAGCCAAGCCATCGCCATTCCCTCCAAGTTAATAATTCTCTATAAACTGGTTTAAATAATTCAAAATTTTGATTTAATCAGTGAATTCAAACAGGATACAAATAAATAACTGAATGAATCCAGAAAAACAACAGTATTTGAAAGAGCAATTCAATAGGGAGATTCTGACTAGTATCCCTTAAGAAATCTTGGAAATGCAGATCTCAAGTAAATAAACTCAGTTGAAAGCTTGCCCAGACAGTGTAGATCAAGCATAAGAAAAAATGTCAGAACTTGACCAGCACCGTGGAGCATGTCTGTAATCCCGGTCACTTGGGAGACTGAAATGGAGGATTTGAAGTTCAAGGCCAAACTAAAGAATAATACAAATGGTCAATTACAAAAGGGTTGGGCTGTTAAAAAGACAACAAGGTGCATGAGAGCAACACTGTGTCGTGACCACATAGACTAGGGTCTTATGAAGCAGTTCCTCTAACATGAACAGGTCTGTGCTTTGTGAACTCAGCCGCATATGCTGGGGAAGCAGAGATACACAGTGGCAAGGGTTATGTCATTGCCAGAGACTAAGTTTACCCATGGTACCATTTTACTTATTTGCAGGTTAATTTCCACTGTCAGGATGTGAGATTTGTGCTGAAAATGTTACAGTGAAGAGGAACGTGTCAAAAAGCAATGGATTTTGTTAGAGGAAGAGATTGACTATGGGAAAATGAGAAAATACAAGTTATGAGAAGACTTGTTTTCAAAGCTGCAATGTGTCTGTATGTTTATAAAAGACCACTTTGAAGTAACACTTCTACATCCTCCATTGGACTGAGGTTTCATGAGGAGTCATGGCCTAGCACTCTCTTAATGTCAACCATGCCAATCACTTTGCATGGTATGTAATTGACTCTAAACAAAGACTTCTGGACTAAATCGTTTCAGTGATGCAGATGCTGTTCTCATATTTTGTGGCCTTAATAGTTTAGAGGATCAGTTTTGTAAATATTCCTAATTTAGCATCTGTCTATTATCTTTAGGGGTAAGCTGGGCTGGCAAGTTTGGGGAAGCATTACCACAGAGGGGAAGTGCCCTTCCCACCACAGCTGTTGCAGACTCAAGTCTTTTCTCATTTGCTGAAATCCTACCCCACAAGGTAATATTTGGAGGTGGAGCCATTGTAAGATAGTTAGGTAGTTAGTCAGTTCAATTGTAATTAGCCATTGTAAGGTAGTTAGTCAGTTCAATACAAGAGGATTGAAACCTCATGTTGGTTTATACTGATGATCTAAAATTATTATTCTGCTGAATGAGTGTCTGCTGGGTTTTCCCTTTTCCATGAAGTTTGTAGATTTTATCTTTTCTGTGAACTACTCTTAGTGGAAAGAAACCACTAAGTGGTGCTCTCAGGGGAGTAAAGAATTATGATCCAACTTCTAGAGTGGAGAGGATCTACGTAAATTATTTGACACTATGTTGTAAAGATGATCTGTCTGTCTGTCTGTCTGTCTATTCATCCAGCTGTCTCTCTGTCTGTCTATTTTTTTGAGACAGGGTCTCACTATGTAGCCCAGGCTGGCCTTGAACTCTTGGCAATCCTCCTGCCTCAGCTTCCAGTGTGCTAGGATTACGGACGTGTGCCACCTCTTTATTAATTGATTCAGCCCTCCCTATAAGCATGTAGTTGTAAATTATGTTTTATTGCTGTTTTTTGTCTTTTTTGAGACAGGGTTTCACTATGCAGTTCAGGCTGGGCTTGAACTCACTTTATAACCCAGGCTGGCCTCAAACTCACAGTATCTGACTCAGCCTCCCAAGTGCTGGGATTACAGGTGTGCACCACTGTGCCTGGATGTAAAATTACATTTTATTTTAGATTCTAACATAATAACATATTATTTCTTTGTTATTTTAAATTTTTTTCAGGTTCTATGCTTTGAATTTTTGAAAAGGAGAGAATGGATCATTTATTGAAGTGTAAGGAACAATCAGTTCATAAAGATATACCTATAAATAAATTAACACTTTCCTCTTGTGGTTAGATTATCTTATAAATTGCCCATGAGTGTTAATAATTGGCAGTGTTCTAAAATCTCCAAATCATACCAAAGCAAGAAAAAAAACAAGCATAGCAAACATTAAATCTGGTAGCTCTACCACTGGAACAAGTGGTGATGAAGTGGGAGCTCTGAAGGTGAAATTATTCTATCCTGTTTCCAGTTAGAACCCTCCTGATCTCCCTTTTGGGTTGGCTCAGCTCACTGCCTGCATTTTTCCTCAGCACTCAGCAGATGTTCCACATTCCTGGCATCTCTTAACTTCATGGGGTCTCCACTGCACTTTTGGCTTCATTCTCACAATGATTCACACTGACTTTCCAAGGGCATAATGCCTGATCTCTCAAAATCTGGATGGCAGTGTTTCTGACCTCACAGGTCCAGCATTCTTTGTGCTCATTAAACCAGTACCACATGCATGACACCTAGTTCTGCCACCAGCATCAGCAGTTAGATAGGCCCCCTTTAATCATGGATGCACGGTCTCTGAGTCCCTGGATGGCTGAACATGGTGAACAGAATCCCAGGGAATCATTTCCCTTGTTAACTATTCTTAATTTGTGAACCAAGGTCCCTATTCTCAATTGAAAGTGTTCAGGTTTGCACTCTTGAAGCTGTGAAGGGTGGGGCTTTCCTGATTTATGAGATACACTCAATGCACCTTTTCTATCATCCAGGTAAAAGGTACATGGTTTCTTTTTAATGCTAATCTTTGTAGCCAACAAGGTTTCCTTGACCAAAACTTTATAGGCCCCACCTTTGTAGGCCTCAGTATTTCAGATCTCAAATTTACAGGCACTTCCTGACCACCAATAAAAATTTTCAAATTATTTAGCTCTGCTTTTTGCTCATGGTTGTCATGGTAGATAGGGCTGAAATCCTCCAGCAGTGTCCATGCCACATCCTCAATATTGGGCTGCCTTGACATTTCTTTCACTAGTTTAGTTCAACCACTGCCCTGAAGCTTAGTCTTCTGCAGAGTGCCAAGACATGAGCAAAATGAAGGTAATATTTCTACCAGATGCACATGGTCTAGAGTCCAGCTGCTGTTGGAATCCTTTTTCCCAACTGAAGCCTTCTGACTTTGTTTTTTATCATCTGCATTTTTATAAGCACTCTGGTCTTTTGAGCTCTGAATGGAATCTACCATTAAGCTTGGTTACAGAATTCTAGGATTTCTCTAGCCAGCATCTACAAACCATTCCAAACTCCTCCCGTGAAGCAGTTCCAAAGGGCTCTAACAGTGAAGACCCTACCTTTCTGGGATCAAAGTTTGTCTTAGGCACTTTTTTCCTCATCCCTGGAACAAAATACAAACCTACAGGTTAAATGAGTAGTTTATTGGGGTTTATTTGGGGTCACATCTTCAGTCCATGGTTGTCTGCCTTTAAGTCAGAAACAGCATGGTGAAGGATTTCTGCTTACATCATCAAATGGTGGTCAGAATGCAGAGAGAGGGGGAGTCAAAGAGAGCCACAATAGCCTTCCAGGTCAAAGCCCCAGTAATCCGTCTCTGCTGACTAGGTGCCACCCCCCAGCACCACACTCAGCTGCTAAACACGGCACAGTATGAATCTACTGATGAGTCCAAAATCCTCAAAGGCCAGTGCCCTGCCTTAAACCCAGAGAGGCTGAAGCTTCTGGGCGGCATTCTAGTTCTATACCATAACACCAGGTCTCAAGAATTTTAGCCTTTTTCCAAAATTCAAGCCCTAGTCTCTTCTAAGACTCAAGGCAAACTATTAGCCGCAAACCACTGTATCAATAAAAAATTTATAGAATCAAAAGGTACAATGGCACAGGGTAAACTTTTTAAATCCCAAACAAGAGGAATAGGAAAGTGGAAAAGAATAAGACCAACAACAGCAAACATTAAGTCCAGTAGCTCCATGGCTGGTATCCAGGGCACTTCGTTATGAGATGGGAGTTCCAGTCCTGCCCCTGTTACCTTGCTGCATGTAGGCACATGGCCTCCCTCTTGTGCTGGCTTTTCCCACACGTTCAACTTGTACCAGCAGATGTTCCAGCTTCCTGGGTTTACCACTGCACCTTGAGCTTCATTTACACAGCTTCATGCAATGCCCTCAGAGGTTCCTTGCCCGGTCTTATGAATAGTCCCTTGAAATCTGGTATGCCTGCTTGACGCCAGAACTTTGAATTTTGTGTGCCAGTGCATCAAATGGACAATGCCAAGATCTGCAGTCAGTAGAAATAATAACAGTTCTCTCATACCATGCCTATAGCAGATTCTGAGTGCCTGGAAGGTGAAGCACTGGGAAATCAATCTCAGGGAACCAAATCCCTAGGAGTTTCTTCTCGTGCAGTGTTCTCAGGAATTCTTTCCTCAAGTAAACAGTCTCCAGTTTTGTATCCTTAAGCCTGTGATGGAGTATTGCTGATTTCTGAGATGCTTTCAAGACATTTTTCTTATTTCTGTAGAAATAACTTGGTTTCTCTTTAATGGTAATAGTCTCTTTAGTAACCTAACCTCATTTGGCACCAAATTTATACATGGTTCCCTCTGGTTTTTCAAATTTTTCTCTGCTTTTTGCCTCCATTTCTCACTATAAATCTGGTTTGAAAAACCCAGCATATACATGCCACAGCGTGAATATTAGACTGCCTTTGATTTGCCTTCAGATCAGTTAGTCCACTGACTTCAACCTCTCAAAGTTTCAGGACATGAGCAAAACGTCATCCAACGTTCTGCTAGAGCATAACACACATTGCCTGTAGTCCAAATGCAGATGGAGTCCTTTTCCCCAACTGGAACTCACTGAGCCTGACTTTTATTGTCTGCATTCCTTCACCATTCTGTTTTCTGAGCTCCAGTCTAAATCACCCATTATGTTCTGTTCACAGCATTCTAAGGCTTCTCTAGGCTCCATCTCCAAAACTTCGTAAACGCTCTTCTGGGAAAGCAGTACCAAGCACTTTTCAACCACATGTTCGGGTCATTTTATGGCAATGAACAACACTTCTCTAGTACCAATTTTCTGCATTAGTGATTATTCAAGTTGCTGGGACACAATACAAGATGCCCACAACATAAGAGAGGGTTAATTTAAGTTGTGGTTTCAGAGGATTCCGTACATAGGCCACAGGCTGCAGGGCAGGAACTTCATGGCACAAGGGCATGGGGTGCACAACTTGTGCATGGTGGCTGAGAAGCAGATCAAGGGAACAGCAGGAGAGAGAGGCAAAGGACCAGATACATTACACAAGGTCATATCTCCATGATCTACCTAGACATACCTGAAGTGTGTTCCAATGACCTTCCAAGTAGGATACAGTAATGCTTAACCATCACAACATGTGTCTCTGTTTACAGACAGCAATGTACTATTTGGAGGAAGTCCTAGAGATTTTGTACATACAAGAAAATTTTAGAGCTAATAAATTCAACAGATTTGCTAGATACAATATCAACACATACAAATCTGTTGTTTTCATGCAGAAATCTGAAAAGAAAATATATAAAGGAAAATTTCCACTTAAAAATAACATGAGCTAAAAAGGAAATGATAATACACATATAATAAACTTAACCAAACAGATGATAAATTTGTATAGTGAAAACTACAAAACATTGCTCAAAGAAATTAAGGAAGACAAATATATAGAAAGATATGTCACTTTTATTCATTGAAAGAATATTGTTATGATGTCAATATTAACCAAAGAAATCTATAGGTTTGCAACATAATTAAAACCTGTAGGATATTTTTGAAAGAAAGCACACAATTTTAATTTTATAAGGAATCCAAAGGGCCCTTGACAGGTAAAGCAATCTTGAAAAGCACAAAGTTCACAGATCTTGATTTCATAAGTCAGTATAACGATAAGTATTTAAATGTTATGTATTATTAATGGAATTTTTACAGGACCCAGACAGAACCCTTACACATAATATCAAATTATTTTTGACAAAAGCATGAAGATTTTGCAATCAAGAAAAGTCACACTTTTCAAAAAATTGGTACTGCAAAACTGGACAATGTACAAAATGAAGTTGGAATTTCCTTTGTTCTGGGTGCGAGTTTGACTACAAATGATTTCAAGACATAAAGTTGACGTAAAATTACACTTTGGGAGAAAAAGGAGAAAAATGTTATGACATCAAACCTAACCATGATTTCTTGGATATAACAGATGGAACAGTCAAGAAAGAATAAATAGATAAGTTGTGCTTAATCTGACTGATCTTTCTGGAAGCGTTCTCATCTGTGGTCTTGTGGATATAAGGGATATAACGATAAGAGACACTTGCGCTTTGATTGTAGTCATGCACAGATGCAAATATCACTGCCCACAAATGCACATATACATGAATTTAGAGAGCTCGAAGTACATAATAGCTGACCTCTTATGAATGTGTAATTCATATTCCCATAAACGTTGAACCAATATCTTAGAAATCTGTGCTATTGATTGTCATTGCCCAATTTTTCTGACTATAAAAGTACTCAGGAAACAGTATACAGTGTGGTGGTGGCATCATCACACAGTCACTAACAACTCTAAGGTTAGAGGGAGGTCCAGTGCCACACAGGACTTGTAAGAACTGAATAAAAAATAGTAACTGAAAAAAGAGGTCTCTCCAGTAGCACAGGGTAAACTCTGTCCAGTGAGACCCAGGTGGCAACAACAAAGGATTCTGGAGCTGGGCCATGCAGGTGCAGACACCTGGCAGGCTCTGCTACTAGGATAGCTCTGGACACCACTAGGAGCCTTGCTTTCTTCTGTCCTCCTCTCACTTCTGCATACCTAATGCAGCTGACAAAAGTGCTGCTGCTCTTGTGCCTACAAAAAGTGTCACCTGAACAACAGGTGTCAGCTGTGTCCGCTCACTACAGTGCCTCCCTTCCTATCAGGTGGTGGGCAGGTCACTGAGAAGGATAGGGATTGGTGTTGATCAGAGAAGTGTTGTTTAAGCAGCTCTGCATAGCTGCCTTGGTGAATATAGACTCAGGGGGCTTCTCCCTCGATTTTATTTACTGTCTACTGGTACAATGAGAAAAAAGGGGGGGACATATTTGAAAATGGCATTAGGGGCCAAGGACAGATGAGTATTTCTGGTTGTGACATCAACACACGTACACAGCTCAGCTAGGTCTGTGCAATAAGTGCAAAATCGGAGCTCTTGGAAGCCATTGCTAGGTAGTAAACTTTTATAGGAAAGATACAGATCAGATGTGCAGGTGTCATAAGTGACCATGTCAGGTGTATAAGTTGAAAGATGCACACAGTGAGCATCAGATCTGGAATCAGACAAGGCTCTTCTGCTGTGTTCTGGACTCTACACCTGAAGCTTAGCCCTTTCTACCACTTGATGGTCTTATATTAGCGATGTGCAGTATATTTAGAAATTGTTTTGAAAGTGACCACTTTGAGTTAGCAAATGTTTTTATCTAATTGGTTCTTGTCTTTGGTGGTGAATGGAGGAGATGAGACAAGAATGCAACACAGCTGGAGATACCTGGGGCCCCTCAGTTATTTTTTAAAATTTGTTTTCTGCACTGATGCTTGTAAATTGCTTATGGTAGGTAGCACTGTTACTATCAAGACTTCCTTAGGAAATGGTTTCTTTTCAGAGATATCTTCTAGATGTAGCTAACTTTTGGCTTTGGAGTCTGTCCCAAGAGCCCACCTCTTTAATTTATTAGGGATGAGAAGCTGCTGCCTACTTGGTCTAGCACCCAGTTCTATTTTGCTGAACTATAGTATTGTTTTTGACCTCCACACTATCTCAGTATTGTTATACAAGGAAGAACAACTGATCACAACAACTATGTTACTGTGGCTAAAGTGTTACAGTAAGCAATAACAATAGCATCAAGTGCAAGTCTAGAAAATGACAAACTGTGGCAACTGTTAAATTTGCCATCTTAAACCATGAGTACAAGATTTATAGTTATATAACAAATCTTAAACAAATCATAAAATTATATGAGTAAATATACCCTCAGTAATTTCTACCCTCAGGGGAGAAAATTTAAAAGGCTTAAGGGAAAAAATAGAGAAATAATAGAAGAGAATGATATTTAGAAGCAACCCTGAAAGAGAAAGGAAGATTACCCAAGCTTTGGGAAACTGGTGTAAGAGACAGGAAAGGATGAAAGTAGGAAAAGGCAAAAACAAGAACTAAGTATAACAAAGCCCCCCCAAAACTAAAAATGATGTTCACACTCATGAAAATACAAAAATAATCAAAAAAAAAAAAAAAGAAAGAAAAAAAAGCAAAAGCAAGGGATGAATAAAAGAGATATTTCTTTGTGATTATAAGCATGTGGCTATCTCTTAGGGTTGACAGTCTTGTGGTAATGTCTTGTGGTAATGTCTAAG